TTCAATTAACATTTTGTTGCAGCTATTTTTGTTTTGGTCATTTGGAATGATTGCGAATTTTCCACAAATAATAAAAATATGACACTTCTATATTTGTTTATTGTCTTTTACTAGCTTTCGCCCGCGAATCCGTTCGCTTGTGATTGAAAAAAACAAAACTGAGTAGCCTATGTGTTCTTCCAGACTATCCTCCACATCTATGTCACATTTCATATAAATCCGTTCACCCGTTTAGGATACAAACTCTAACAAACATCCATCTAAACTTTCACATTTATAATATTAGTAAGATTTATGCTTGACTAATTGACCACTCATAGAATGATGATTTTTATACAAGATTTATTCAACGTTTTAATAATAGCGTGATAATATTGTAAATTTTAGTTTAGCGTTAATGTGGCGTCGCTAAATATTTTAGCGGTAAAGGATTGTGGAACGCTATTTGCATTCGTAAATGGTTTTATCCTCTCGTTTGTGTTTATTTTAAACGCTATAGTAATAGTACCGCGACTTTATTTTAAGGATTATAAAGTCTATAAATGACAAATCAAAATATCAACTGAAATAAAAAAGCGAAGCAATATGCAAGTGAATTACATGATCAAGAAATAGGTGAAGACCGAATCTATTTTTCGAAAAATAACGTTCGCTTTTATAATATTTATTAGCTATTACCCGCGTCACCGTCCTCGGTGAGTTTAAAAAAACTTGAAACTTAAAAAGAAAGTAGCTAATGGCTTCTTTTAGATTATGTTCTAAATCTCCGATAAAATTCATCATTATGTATCAAACCGTTCTAGTGATATGTAGTAAAAAAAAAACTATCCATACAAATTTTCGCTTTTCTAATAGTACTAGCTTTCGCTCGCGTGGAATTAAAAAAAAGAACAAAAGTAAGTAGCCTATGTGTTCTTCCAGGCTGTCCTCTACATCTATACCAAATCTCATCGAATTCCGTTCAACCGTTTTGCCTACAAACTCTAACTAACATCCATCCATCCATCTATATATCCATTCATCTTGTAATTGTTCTTGTAATTGTTCTAATCTTGTTCTAATTGTATTGTAGTTTAAAGTACGATTGTATGATTAGAATTAAATATGCTTTTGATGCATTTACTTAATTAAGTTTGAATTCTTTCGAGATTTATGGAAGCCTTGTAAAGTAAATAACTGTTGAGCGAATCTTATTAGATTGCGTCTTATCTATATCTGAATAAACAAAGCTGCAATTTAAACATTATTACGTTGTTGTTTAGGTTTAAATTGAAATGCGGTGAATTGAAATTGAAAGATCTTGATTGAACGAAAAAGCGGAATCCGTTTAGCTCATATAATAATCAAATGTAAAAAAATGCTTGCAAAGAAAATATCTATTTAACTACATCTTTTTTAAATTAGTAAAGAAAATAACAAATGGGAAATAACTGAAAATTCTTTTATAAAACGTAATTATAAATAAATTCAACAATAAATATCCCGAGATGAAAAGAATCTTTTTAAAGACAAGTAAAAAGAGGGAAAACATTCAAGAAATTACATTCATTTTAACAACGAAAGATCGTTGACTCGTGTAAAACTTTTAAAGTGAAAGTGTAGACGTATTACAGTTACGTGGGTTAAACCCTTTTCTACTATAAACCATGCCATCTCTATCTTTTAAAAGACAATGAAAGGGATAACGATACGTTCATTTTCAGGTGTTTTGTCAGTGTAAACCAACTGTGAGGTTGAATGAACTTCACATTTCGTATCTAGCTGTAGCGATGATCCTTGTTTTGCCACAGACTATACACAACTACATAACGAGATAGGTACAGTACGTTTAAAACTACGCTAAAAGTGTCACAAACGTTTACACGCGACTTTATACGGATTTAAAAAAAAATCTAGTAATAAATATAGCCTATGTTACTCAGTGATAATGTAGCTTTCTAATGGTGAAATAGTTTTTGTTATATGTCCAGTAGTTTTTGAGTTTATACGTTACATAAAAATGTAAAAACTGTTTATGTTTATAATATTGGTATAGATACATTATAAACACATAACTTATGGTCTGTGATTGGATATATGTTGGTAACTAAGTAACTATGTGCGGTTCTCTTATGATAGATTTGTTTTTTCCTGAAGTTTCTCTCTGCAAGCAATTTTTTAAATTTGTAAAATTCGAAAACAAATGAAATCGTTTGCAATTATTTTTTAAATTCACGGAATTATATAAGTGTACTGTATTTTACTGTAATCATGAAATAAACAGTTAGTATTTCTATCTCACTGTCGTTTCATAAGATGTTAAACGATTTACGAGCAGCAATGATCCTCTCGCTAAATGTTCGACTCATTACACCCCTTGATAACTAAAACCTCGAGATAATTATTAAAGTCAGCGTTAATGAAAGGTAAATTCGCTAAACATTTTGATATTCTAGAAGTTACTAGATAAAGAAATTTGTGTGTGGACAATAACAAGTATTTAGTTTTTGAATAATTCAGATTTCTACTTGTAATAACAGTGAATTTCCACTGTCGACAAATCCGCACGATAACAAAGTAACTATAAAAGCTTCCAATCAGAATGAGAAGTATATTTTTAAGCATGTGTTCTAGCCGTGAAATCCAACTGCTAAATATACAGAGAACAATTAAAACACAAAGATAAAATGTCATCCAAATCGGTCTATCTTAATGGTAGTCCTTCATTCACGCGGTATAAGAATACTGACTTCTCTAAAAGTCGTTAATTAAGAGAGACCTTCGTAGTTTCTTGTACTAAATCTATGCTACATGACTGAGACCTAAAGAGTATACGCAAACCGTATCTTTCCGGAATTTAGAACGTCTAGACTTGAGACTGAATTAGCTTACGTACATCGTAGGGGCTTATCTCAAATAGCAATGTGCGGGATTCCGTCGAGGTCCGTGGGCCGGTGCCAAGCTATCGGGTGAGAACTTTGTAAATTGGCCGCACGGTACATTAAGCAGGGGTTGTAAGGTATATGATGGAGTACAGACGCGGCGGCGGAAAAGTTTTATAATTTAAAACTAGCAATAAATTAACGTTCTGTTTTTTGGATTAGAATAAAAATGAAGGCAAACTGTATTTTATTAACTTTAATTGCACTCATAATGTTTTTATTTTATAAATGTGTAACTCAAAATAGCGATATAAATGTTATCGAGGATTCATGACGAATTTTATATTTGATTTTCCCTTTTATGTTGTTAAATGACAAGGAATAATCGCTAATATTTAGCTAAGTAGTTAATTTTGACCGTAACTATCGGTTTAGCAAGAGTAATTTTTAATTATATAATTGTAGTTCTTATTAAAAAAATCGCTACGTCTTGACAATGTAACTTAGCCTGAATAAAACAGCTGGCCTATCTGACTGTTGGCTACGCCTATTCCAGTTTATTATCTTTGGACCTCATTTAATCCTGATCCATATGATAACATTTAACGTGGGAAGGTTAAAACACAATGGTGTTAGAAAGCTTTGTAAATTTCCATGATTATGAGGATAAAAGTATTTTTATTGTTACTTAAGCATTACACAACTTAAGTTTTAATTGTACTGTGCTGTACAAAACTGAAGTGTTATGCTTACCTTTTGAACTATGCCTTGCATTGTCAAATCGTAGTTAGTAGTTTTTTTTTAATTATTGGACAAAAAAAAATTGAAAATACAAAAAAAATGTTTGAAGCAGTACAAAAACCCACAGGGTTTATAAAAAGTAAAGTTATTAGACCCAATTATACGAGTATATATTTTATCATTATATTTTTTAAGGAATAAAAACTGAAATAAAACTGATATAATAAGTTGTAGATCGTTTAAAAATAACTAGCCCTTGTATAATCTACACATCTCTCGAGCGTGTGTCCAAGTGTCCGCCATTTTTCTGACGTTGACAGCCAATAAGCTGTCAAATTATCCCGCCTCAATCTGACAGCTGTGCTCTCAATGAGGTGCTTCGCGGTGAATTCAATTCCAATGTCATACGTGTTAAATAATAATAATTAACTAGTATAATAACTACTATTACTACTACTTACTATTGCATTTTAATAATTCTAATTTATACCAATATAATAAAGCGTAAACACATACTTTGTGGCGTAAGATGTCAGCAATTACATCATGTTTTTAAACAATTCGTTTTTTAATAAAAAACTCAACACTTACAACATGTTTTAGTATATACGCTATTAAACTTAGGAGATAAATAAATTGAAAAAAACCTTCATGTGGAAAAGAGACTATAAACTGCAAGCTGCCAACATTGAGGTAGCTAGGTTATTATGTTAACGGTAATTTTGACATTTGGAATTGAGAATTTGACAAATGTAAACAGTAAAAAAGGAAATTTTTGCTTTCTAAAGCTTAAAATTCCTCCAATAAACCTAATTATTTATATGAGAGTTTATACCTAACCTAATATGAATAGGAATGTAAGCAACTCGCTCACAATTCCTTTACACCTGTCATTTGCAACGTACTGCGAGAAACAATACGACGCAAATACAGAATAACGGTTCGCAGGTTTGTTGGTGTACATGAAAAAGAAAAACCGAATGAATGTCTATAGCAAATAATGCTGTCGTTACTTTACACAAAACTCTCATTAATGTAAGCACTTTTAACTTTTCGTAGTTTTTCAATTTACCGCCTGATTTTTCTTAATTTTAAAACAATCACTTTAATGAGTGTTTTGAGGTAACTTTGTTTTATACACCAAAGAATGGTGAATGAATTTAGTTTGAAAACAACAAGCCGAGGATCTCGTATTGACAAAAATCCTATGTAACTATTTTAAATTAAAAGTCTATATTGACGGATATTATTTGAGATACTATGTAGGTTACCTTTTTTGTCATCTGTACCTATGCAACCAAGCCTGATGATCTTCGTTTCGTTAGATACAAATGAGGAATTTATGTTGTTTTGTTTCAGTTATAACAGTATGAAATAGGAGCCGGAGTAGCGGGCGGCATGGCGGGTATGCCCGGGCTGGGCAACAGCGTCGGTGCCGGAGAGCTGCGCGACAACACGCCAGGTAACAACGCTAACACAACAAAACACAACAACACAATCACAAAACAACCACAACACAACTACAGTTTGCAGTGACCGATTCGTTTCATAGAACGATACTGATTATCTTAGCACGCCACACACTTTTGAAACTAGTTGTGCAACTAAACAGTTGAAGTGGCTGCGAAACAATCGACAATCGCATAACAGTTGTGCGGTAGTTTAGTCAAAGCAATAACGCGACATCTTACATAGAGGTATTTACCTAAAGGAGACAGATTTAAATGGGAGTGATGACTCAAATGACGGTAGATAGTTTTGGTCGAAAAAATCTCTGTGCGAACAAACACGCAGATATTATGAATAGATTAGATAGTAACATAATATATGCTTAGCACTGTAAACTTAACAGGCATAAAAAAAAGAATAAATATTACTCTCATATCAGCGGAGGAATTATTTCATTAATGAAACTCTCTTTTACTCTATAAATACAAATATGAAATTTTATACGTTACACGTGCGAGCTGTATTGAATAATGAAAATGATTTCCCGCTGCATATTCGGAATATAATAAAGCGGATAATTTCGCGAATTCGTCCGTGCAAATGAATTTGTTTGTTGAGCATGTGCGCATCGTATTACGTGGATTTCTCTCAACATGCGGAATATTATGGACGTATTATTTACATTTCAATGTCAAACGGATTGTTCGCTATTGAACATGGATTTATGAATAATTATTTAACTTCACGTTTTGAATATATTTACTACTTAACTATTTAAAATGTAAATCTCTCTTGCTAGTACCAAATTGAAATTTGCCATTTTTAATAAAGACTCTCTGTTGCTCGCGACTTCGCCCGCATGAAATTAAAAAAATAATACAAAATGCAGGGTATTACTGACAGATAAATTACAATGGTGAAAGAGTTTTTAAAATCAGCCCAGTAGTTTTGAATACAAATCTTTCCTCTTTACAATATTAGTATTAGTGTAGATATGGTTGTTATTACATCTAGGGCTGTCAACTTATAAAAAGCGTAGACCGTAACACTGGCGACGAAGAAAACTTATTTATCTTTTATTACAGATGCAAGCAACAGGTCGTCTAGTAGTGGCTCCAGAAGAGGTTCCTCGCCGCAACGTGCTCAGGTAAAACTTCTTTTTGTTTCAATTATTACGGTTTTCTATTTGATAAAATGTGAATACAAAATTAATTTCTAAATTGCACAAATTCCTCAAAACAGTATTATTGTGTGTACAGACGCAAAAAATATTTTTACAAAGATAACATTACACGAGCGTAGCATTGTCGCTATAAAACATGTAGACCTACGTAGCACTTCTCGTAGCCATTTGGATGATCCGTGCATTGCCAAACACAGACTTACCTCTGCGGCCTGTGACGAATATTTTTTATAATGTTTGTATTATATTCAGGAACAAGAAGTAGACGTATGCTGCCATAGGCCTTCAGTTGCTATAACCAGACCTCGGCTCCCCAGCTACGACGCTAACTATGACAACAGTAAAGTGCCCACTATGGTTTGTATAGTTTACATTACTAGAAATCTTAAATGAAAACAAAAACAAGCTTGACCTTAAAGTCTAAGTAGGGGCTATAATGAGATTTTCATTATTTATGAAAAATAAAGAGATTAAAAACATATAGAGACGGCATAGTTAACACTTCATTTGAGATATTCTTCACATAATTTTACTAACGCTAACGTTTAATAGATCCTAAAAACAGTCAATGTATTTAACTGTATTAAAATAACTTGCCAATAGGTGTTATTAAATAATTTAAATATGAATATTTAATTTGTTAATGGTTTTTTCATTTTTCATTTTAACTTTTATAATTTTGCGTTTTAGCTTATTCATCATCATTTCCCCTGCCTTATCCTACTCCCGTAGAGTCGGCGCACCGGGTTTTCGTCCTCCAAAGCACTCTATCATCCGTCATCTCAGTCATCACTCCCTTCTTGATCATGTCACCTTTCACGCAATCCATCCATCTCTTTCTCTACCTCTACCGGTGTAGCCCTCATCAATAATTCATTCATTCATTCGTTGTAGCTTATTATAATTTTGTAAAATATTATATAACATGACAATACACGAGATGGCACTAAACTTAACAACTGATATAGTACCTTTGAGCGAAAATACTGAGGAAGAAATTTTGTTCACTGCCTCGTTTATATATTTTTTAAATGCCTTTTATCCAAAGTCATTTTATTTGTTGAATACTCTGAACTAAGATAAAACGTTAGTCTGTGTTCGTCATAGCAAATCTTAAAGATCTATTCTTCCAGGCAACGTTGAGCGGCAGTAATGTGGTGACGCACACAGCGCCCTCTTACGAGGAACAGCGAGCAAGTCCAGCGTTACTCAGCCGTAACACGAGCACACCGGGCGGCCGGAGCGTACGGGATGACGGTTACTGCTCCGCCGGCAGTACACCACGAGCATTCGGTACCAGTAATTATATACTTTAATGTACATAAACACAGATACAAAAATATATAAAAGGAGCATAGTTGACATTTCACTTGAGATATTTTTCACACGATCGTCACTAACACTATCTATTAATCCTCCAGAACCAGAACCACATTTTTTTTATGTTTTCTATTTTATTTTGTGACACTGTTTAATTTATTTTATAAAAAAATGGACCTTACAATTTTGTAAAATGTTTTGACGAGTCAGTACAAGGATATGAGGTGGCACTAAACTTGACAAATAATATAGTACCTTTCAAAGAAGTTACCGGTGAAAAAATGTTGTTCACTACGTTTAGTCTATAACTAACAAAAATATATCGTTGTCTCACTTCTTACAAGGAGAATGAGAGGGTTGACTGTACGAGTAGTTTGATAGAAAGTCACAGTAACAACGTATAAATTGTTTATTACGTGAATCTTTTTAGTGAACAACGCGGTTAGTCACTTGTGTAATAGAAATGTATAAATTTGACCGCATTTTAATGTTACAGAATAGACAACGCTAATAACGTTTCGCAAACGTAAATAACCTTTTATTAAAGCAACCTTTACGAGTAATCAAACATTGCAGCCACTAAGTAAATACACTATAATAGTAACGTAGCTTTTTAACTCTATATTTAAAATACAATTTTATGCAAATGTTCTGTTCGCAGACACCCACGATGGATGCTTTAATTTCCTATTAATTCTCATTTAACAGTTCAATTTTAGTTTTCAAGTTTAAAATTTTATTATTCATTATTTCGTCATAATTTACTATTCCTATTTATTTTTCCTATATATTGTTCGCGACTGCGTCCACGTTTAATTAAATAAAACTTAGTAATTAGCACGTGCTTTTTCAGACTATATTCTAATGTATGCCAAATTTCGTTGAGATCCGTTCAGCAGTTTAAGCTACATATTCTAAGCATTCTCATTAGTAAGCTTTATAAGGGAAAGTGTGTGAAAGAGAAAGTTTGGAAGTGAACTTAGATATTACGACTGAAGAAGATATATGGAAGAGTACTCGCGTGTATGATGCGAAAATTTAGATGGACGAAGTTTGTTAAAGGTTGTAGTCTAAACTGAAGAACGGATTCCGATTAAATTATCATAGATGTTAATTTGGAAGAACGCATAGGTGTTACTTTTTTTTTTAAATTCTACGCGGACGGAGTCTCGGACAAAAGCTAGTTAATAAATAAGTTTAACCCGATAGTTATAACTAGAAGGGCAATAAACGTGTTGCGTAAATATCAATTGATAACTGAAATAGGGAACAATAAACTACAGGTGGTCAATATTAAAATGTAAACAGCTCTTGAAAACAAGTTAAAACAAAAGATGTGGAGAGGCAATAAGCCGGCCGCGTGGAGAGCACTACATAACTACTTTATTGCTTTAAGCCCACTTTCCACTAAGAATTCCACTTTCGCTTCTCTGACCGTTATTTTCTACAGCAGTTAACGCGTCGTATACGACATCTGCTATCAAAGTTGTCTGCGGTTATGTGCTCAGTGAAAATGTGTTTTTATAGACTTTTCTTTAACATCATTTTAAGTTTAACCTTAAAGTATTGTTTCAGTTTCATCTTTTAACACAAATTTTGAGTTTCATTTGTTATAGTCAAATATCTTCTAAGTAAATTAAATCTCTGTTTTAATACTTCTTTCTTAAATATAATTTTTCAATGGCCTGCGTTGCAAAACTGTGTAACCTTTCTTTTGTTTGTTGTCTTTTTTTATTATGATATCTAACTACTCGATTATTCGGAGAAAAGTATTTTATAATTTCGATCGTCCGTTCGCGCTCTTCAGAAGGTAATCATTAGAACGGACTGGATTCCCTCGGGAAAAACCTATATCCATGATTGAATTCTCTTATTCACTACAGCTCTTTCAAATTCAAATCAACTGAATCGAAGTTTATTACTCAATATTTCAGCGAATATTGTAAACTTTTTAAAAGTTTTTTTTATAAGACAATGAGAAATAAGCTCTTGGAAACATCAAGGCGACAAACAACAATGCATATTGGCAATTCCAACAATCGGAGAACCGCAAATTTACTTCTTTATATGGTAAGAGGCGTCTTTTTACAAATTTTAAGAATAATAAAATCCTTGAACACTCTTGTCATTTCGCCCGTGACTCAATCCGCGTGGAATTAAAAAGAACAACGTATTTTTCCGGAGTATCCTCTCCATTCTATTTATGCCTAATTACATAGAAATCCGTTTAGTAGTTTAGGGTACAAACGCTAACAAATATCCATCCATATAAACTTTCGCATTTTATTCGTAAGATTAAGCCTTTGCATTTGTTTGGTTATTAAAAAAAAGATAAACAAGAATGTAAAATATTGCATCGTAGCCACACAACGGATGCGGTTCCAGGGATGGGAATCGAATAGGAGCGTTCCATTTTTGAATTCCAATATAATCGGCATCCCGGTGAGAATTATTGAGAAATTTTTTCGCATCGGCATCCCATTATACGTTAATACGAACGGCGCGCTATTAAGAACTGAATGCCATTCGCCCGAGACCGTCCTCGGTCAGGTGGTTATTGCTTTTCATATTCTTATATTAAAATCGTCTTGGAATTAATAGGTACATAACCGAGTAGAGATTAAAACTGAGGTGGGAAATAAACTGTCCTACGATTTGACAAAAAAATCTCAATTTAACAAAAATCTTCGATTCCCTTTTGTTTTTCATAGGATACGTTTTTATACAAGTTTCTTGATAATGGAAATCCACAGCTAGATTGCGATTAAAATGTAAAAGCTAAAAATGTTTCATTTGTTTCCAGATCACAAATCGACGAAGGGATCAGTAGTAACATTATCTTGTTACAAGAGTAAGTAAAAAAATAGGAATTTTTGTCTAAGCTTTAAAGTATATGTTTTGTAACTGTGCAAAAGAATAAATAAATAAAAAAGGTCACTACTCATAATTACGCAAACAATGCTTTGTTTGCATAATTATACGAATTATAAATCTGTATAAAGTCCTTTTAATTAGGGAAGGGTCTATTTTCAGTCGTTTGATTGGTCGATTGATGCTTGAGTGTAAATGGCTTGTCAAACTTCACTGTTCATCACTCGTCACGATCAAGTTGATATCAATTACAGCAGTCGATACATGACTTATATGATGGTTTTAAACAGTTAATTACTTTATGAATTTAGTAATCTTTATAATATAGCTGTTTTGATAGTGATTTCGTACGCGCAGAATTCAAATAAAATCTAGTAACAAATATTGCCTTTATTATTTTAATCGGTGCAATAATGTATTTAATTCACAAGAAAATACAAATTATTAGTTAGTTGTTTAATAAAGTTAATTTTTTACTCGACTTTAAGGAACATATTTATTGCTAGCTGTTGCTCGCAACTTCGTCCGCGTGAAGTTAAAAAATAATAATACAATCATTGGCTATGTTACTCACTGATATTTTTAATGGTAAAATAACAATCGCCGCAGTAAATTTTGAGTTATTTCCATACATACAAAAATCCAAATCTTTCCACTTTGTAATCATACTAATACTAATAGTATAAATGTGAAAGTTTAGATGGATGGATGTATGTTAGAGTTTGTATCTTAAACTGCTGAACGGATCTTAACGAAATTTTGGCATAGTTAAAGAGGATAGTCTGGAAGAACACATAGGCTACTTAGTTTTTTTAATACTACGCTGACGGAGTCGCGGGCAAAAGCTAATATTAGTATAAATTAAACTCCGAATAAATTGTGTAAATAGATCAATCAAGTTAATTTCATGCAGGAACATTTAGAAGCACTTAAAGATAGATTAGCGTAAAGTGTTTGTGTTGCAGGAGAGCCTAAAGTCCAGATAGAGGAGGAAGGCTATTACAGCGAGGCGAAGAGGATTAGAGCCAACAGTATTAAGCCGGGTAATCGCGTTTTAATCAACAAATTCATTGGATTATGTTCTTGAGATTTTGTGATAACTTGAGTGGTTGTCTAATTTTACTAACTGACATTTATAGAATGTTTAACTATAGGGTTGTCAAAATACACCTTTTTGTGTGACCTCTTATGAAAGATCACGATACCAGACGCTAAATATTTAGAGATTTTCAATAAATTTTCTATAAATGCGATTCTAAAGCAAGAAATGTATGTGATGCGCTATAATTACAGTCTAAAGGCAGAATATTGAAACGAATCTTTTGAGCTAAACTTACTGAAAGACGATAAAAATTTTTTTGACCTTTTTAAATTAGCTTTTAGGCGTTGTATTACTATTTAATACGCTGTTACATATTTAAATATCTTTGCAAAAATCGACCGGAAGTTAATTTTTTTAATTAATCATATTCACGTAGTAATTAATTTATATTTTAACAGAGGCGAGTGACGGCCGAGAGACTTGGGGAACAGGCGCCGACTTCCTGCTCTCAATCATCGGCTTTGCTGTGGACTTAGCCAATGTCTGGCGCTTCCCTTATCTTTGCTATAGAAACGGCGGCGGTAAGTTTAGTTCAACCTAGAGTATTTGAAAAACGTACGACTAGTTTCCAGATTCTTTAAAAATTACGCATTTATTTAAGTATTCAATTTCTTTGTTTTGTATTTAATAGTATTTTACCTTGTGCAGGAGCATTTCTAATCCCCTACATGCTGATGCTGGTCTTCGGGGCGGTTCCTCTCTTCTACATGGAACTGATACTCGGCCAATATAACCGACAAGGACCGATCACGCTGTGGAAGATTTGCCCACTCTTTAAAGGTTCAGTAAAAATATTAAATGACGTTGGTAATCTAAAAATGTTATACATTTTGTAATTGTTTTGTTATTTTTCAGGTGTAGGTTTCTGCGCTGTTATGGTTGCTTTCTACGTGTCTTTCTACTACAACGTAATAATAGGTATGACGTAATTAAAATAAGTGAAACATTAACAGACTATTATAGGAAGACTAAAGAAAGTATGGTTTGTGTGAAACAGGACATGCATAAGGAAGAGAATTCAGATATGACGCCTGATAGAGATGTATGAAAGATAAGAACATACTGTCTGTAAGTAAAAGGGCAGTTTGATAATGCTTATATTTCCATGGAATAGGCCATTCCGTTCCTCGGGATTTTCTTCCGCATCGCCGCAGGAAGTCACTCATATCTTATAATACCGTGTGTCAGGTTGGGCGTTCTACTTCCTGGTATCATCAGCGAGGTCCGAGCTGCCGTGGCTGCATTGCGACAACGCGTGGAACACCGACCAGTGCTGGGACGCAGCAAGATCGAACAACACCAACCGCACCGATACCCCTTACCAAGGACCATTGTCTCATTTCACGCCAGCTTCAGAGTTCTTTCAGTTAGTTAATTTATATCTCTATATTAGCTGTTGTTCATGACTTCACCCGCGGGAAATTAAAAATTAATAAAAACATAGTCTATGTTACTCACTGATAGCTTTTTAATGGTAAAGGATTTTTTTAATTCGGGCTAGTAGTTTTTGAATTATTTCAATACTGTATGTATTGAAATAAAAATACAAATATTTCCTTTTTACAATGCTAGTATAGATTGTGTGGTAAATACAATTATGTTTCTTTTGTCCTTTCTTTAACGAATTTAAAACGATTTTATAAATTTGTTTAATATCTTTATTTCTTGCTCCAAAGAAACACTTAATAACCAATTTTTATTTAAGATGTCGAAACTATTTTCACAGTCGAGCGGTATTGGAGATGCAGCATTCGGAGGGACTGAACGACTTGGGTCTGCCGAAGTGGCAGCTTGCTGCATGTCTCGGTGTCGTCTACATCACATTATACCTTTCACTGTTTAAAGGCGTTAAAAGCTCTGGTAAGTTAGGATCAAAATATTCATGTAATAATTTCGTATTCACAATCAATTGGAAAGAATTTACAATTCAGCGTATAGTTTCTAACTTAATGTTACACTTACAACTTTCAGGCAAGGTGGTGTGGCTGACAGCAACAATGCCGTACGTAGTGTTGTCGATTCTGCTGGCGCGTGGACTGCTTCTGCCAGGAGCCGCGCGTGGCATCGCATACTACCTACAGCCTGAGCTGAGCAGACTTAAGGATACCCAGGTCCGTGACGTCACATTTGCAATTTCAAAACAAATGTTTAGTGATAGCTATTCCTTCTTTTATTCTTAATATGTGTTCCTGCTATTGTTAACAGGTGTGGGTAGATGCCGCTGTCCAGATCTTCTACTCGGTTGGAGCTGGCTTTGGGGTTCATCTCTCTTATGCCAGCTACAATACATTCCACAACAATTGCTACAGGTATACATTAGTTACTTTGGTTTCAAAGAGCGGGCGCTTTGACTAAACTATCGCACGACTGTTGTGCACAACGTGCGCACCTCCATTAAGCTCATAGTATTCAAAGCGCGACTTAACTGTTATGCAAGAGTTTAGTCGCCCTTTGAATCCTACGAGCGCGCTGTGTGATCTTAGTTTGTGTGTTTATTGCGTCTTTTAGCTCCTTAATTCAAATAAAAAATTGATCTCATTGCATCATTATTATCTACATTAACATATTTGTCTTCTTTCGTTGTGATAAGTTCGGTAAAAATTCTATTCTTTCCAGAGACTGCTTGGTAACAACACTCGTCAACTGTTTCACATCGTTCTTCTCTGGGTTTGTCATCTTCACCTACTTGGGCTTTATGTCGCACAAACAAGGTGTGCCTATATCTTCCGTTGCTACCGAAGGTACAGTTGAAATAATAGTTCCTGTAGAATGATCAATATTTTGGCATAATTCTGTCTGTTTATGGCAATTATTTTTTTTGTTTTTTGTTGTTCAGGACCTGGCCTAGTCTTCCAAGTGTACCCTGAGGCTGTTGCTACGTTACCTGGTGCAAGTTTATGGGCGATGCTGTTCTTCTTCATGCTGATAATGCTTGGACTTGACTCTGGGGTAAGTAACTATAAGATTTTATTATTCTGTAGCCTTTAGTTTCTGAGAATCACAATGGATCAATTTACAAGTCTACTGCTTTTTGTTGTGTTTGATATTCATTTGTTATTTTAAGAACGCTTTTTTCAGTCTACCCATTTATCAACTAACAATTTTCATTTTTATAGATGGGTGGTCTGGAGTGTGTGATCACGGGTCTACTGGACCAGGCCCGCGCGTGCGGTGCCACGCGGCTACGTCGCGAGCACTTCACTCTTGTTGTCGTTTGCGTGTCTTTCTGTGTGGCCTGCATCAATGTTACTCCCGTAAGTGTTTATACAATTTATAATCATGACACGATGTTGGACAAATAAGTATCATAGTATTAATAAGCTTTTATCTATATTTTATAGTTTTAATAATATTGTCGTTTATAATATTTATGAGTTTGTGTCCTTAGGGTGGCATTTACATGTTTCATCTACTGGATACCTACGCTGCGGGTATATCTCTACTGTGTTCCGCTCTATTTGAAGCCTTGGCAGTCTCCTGGTTTTATGGTAAGACATTGGTGTACAACTTTATTAAGAGCGCGCACATCTTCGAGTAAACTATCGCTCAATTGTTTAGTCACGCTTTGTTTCCTATGAGCTTATATGGAGGTGCGCACGTTACTCGACTTTTAGTTGAGCAAAACAGTTGAATTGGCTGCGAAACAGTCGACAATCGCACAACAGTTTTGCGTTAGTTGATTCAAAGGTGTGCGCTCGCTGTAAATGTCTACAAATGCTATAAATATACTGGCTAATGCTATAAATATACAAATGCTATATATATTAGTAATATCTGTAGTTCTGACCTAATTTAAAACATTATTTCTATGCTCAGGTTTGGAGAGATTCTCTGATGATGTTGAAGAAATGCTTGGCTTCCGACCGGGTATTTATTGGAGAGTTTGCTGGAAGTTCATCAGTCCGACGTTCATAATTGTAAGTTTCTATATAAGGTACATTCAGTTGTTTATTTACTAGCTGTTGCTCGCGTATTTGTCCTTGCGGAAATACCTTTTTATAAATATAGTAAATGTTATTCAGTGATAACGTAGCTATTTATTGGTGAAAGAATTGAAATCGTCCAGTAGTCTTTGAGTTGTTTTAATACGTACAAAAATACAAATCTTCCCTCTTTATAATATTGGTATAAATTATAATTCTTTCTCGTTTTATCTTCAGGGTGTAGTGGTGTTCGGTCTTCTCTACCAGCAGCCGCTCCAGTACCAGACGTACATGTACCCGCAGTGGGCGGTGGT